ATAAACTTCAGACAGAAGTAAATATTCGAATTCTTTCACATATGACTGGCAGGCTAGTCTGACAGAAAAGCTGTTCTGTCAAATCAATCGAGAGAATGAAACTCCACGAAAATCCTCTACCTGAGCCATAAATCTCTTATTCTAGTGTATGCTTCCTGTCAGCTCCTAATTGCGAATTACTTTCATTATAATCTTAAGCGAATTATTTGTTTTCATGTGACATATGTGCATTCAGTATATATCACTATTTTGTTATTATTAACTCCATCATATGGATAAGTTTGAGTCGGTAACTGTGATCATATTGTGTCTAGTGAGGAAACCTTTGAAAAAGAATCTATGTTGTTGTAGGGCCAGTAAAATGTCAAGTAATTGATCCCTGTCAAAGTAAAGGACAGTCAACGGACATCACTTAATCTTATACCGTGAACTGACCCATACGGTGGTGGTCTCACTATCTTATCTCTACTCATTCTTACTAATATATTTTCGTAGTAACATTCTTTGTGTTATACGGTCTTCAAAGCATCCATGGTAGCTTGATAAACGAACGGTTAATCCACGTTAGGTGCTGGCCGTGAGGTGTGACTTTGACGTTATTTGGTTTGTTACACCAATCCCGTCTAACTCGAGTAGGCCATCAATCATTCGACATAGATCATTTACGTTGACAATCTAAATTGTTATCTTTCCAAGATCAATGAGGTCATCATTCAGACTTGTAACTTTCGATGAATAATTGTATCTATGATTACTTAATTCCACATACAAAACAATAGTATCTAAATGTCTATATTTCTTTCCACGAACTATCGATTTGGGATCAGAAACATCACTCATTTGAAATTCATCACTGAGTGATATACAATAAGTTAACTTACTCAGAAACCGAAGTCATTATTAAACAAACTGGCTTTAATGAAAATTTTATAGACTTGTGGAGTTTTAGAGTGATTTTCAACAGGATACCGAAACTTTTATGTTAAAGAAGCAGTTTTAACTATGACTATATTCTATCTGTCCATTATCAGCCATTCTAGGATGGTGGTGTTTAGAGATAATCGACAAGAAACCCTATATTTAGTTTTCGTGCTACTTGGCATTCATCAGCAAGGTGTACTTATAATCTTTAGGGAATGGATTCTCCCTAGCATATCCTATCATATGTAACCTAGTTACACAGTTAGAAACGTTACCACTGAATTATTCGAGTAGCGGCTAACATCATATTGGACTAAGATGTGTTTACAATTGATTAATCAAGTAACTTTCGTTGCCAAGACCATCAATGATGTTGATGTTTATCAGTATTGATCTAGAGTTAAGTAATTTAAAGGAATTCTAGTCAACTCGAAGAATTTTTTTTACTCATTTATTAGACGATTGACGTTACAAATCTGCTTCTGCTGAGGAGTTCTATAATAGGAAGAAACGGTAGTCCAGTGCTTCCAGGTATTCCATGATGATCTCAACTATTAAATGAATTTATTTCAATATTTATTTGATTATAGGTTAGCATAATATCATGCTTAATGTTAGATTATGTATGTATTTAGTTTAAGCTTAAAAGAAAATAAAGCTTACTATAAACTAACTAACTATAGCCTTTACACACAGAGGATAATATTGATTTATAAAACATCTGAACTTATTACATAGTTCGATTTATACATGAAGGAATCACGTACCTTTTAGTTACATCTTTTGTAATTGTACTATCTTCATATAACTCCGCCTGGAGCCCTTTCGGGGGCTACTGCCGGTTTAAAGCCCGGATAAAAGAAGAGGGTCGGGCATGAAGTTAACGACACCATCCCATAGAAAACCAACTCGCTAAAAAAACGCTGACCGGAAAAAATTATTAGTTAGAAGGTTTTCATTCAGAAGAGTTATGATGCCTCATGGTGACAGCCAAGTTCCTTCGGAAGTCACGAGGCTGATGACTCTTCTGACAACCAGAGCAACCATTAACTTAGGTGCATGAAATGTTCGTACAATGTGGGAGACCTGGAGAGTCATCTAAATTGATGCAGAAATCAAAAGATACAACCTGGAGTTGCTTGAAATCAGTGAAATACATTGGACGCAAGTTGGACAAAAAAGACTAGTTCAGGGGACCTGCTGTTATATTCTGTCCATAAAGAAGAAAATGCTCCACACACACAAGGAGTTGAACCGATACTATCATCATATACCATGTAGTATAACGCATCAAATTCATTGTTAACAAGAATCGTAGGAGTAGTAATCAAATTGTAGCGGTAAATAAATCTCCAGAATAAATAGTTCTGAAAGTCCTCGATATTTGATGCTGACCACATTAGTTCCAATGGACAGATCTAGCTGGAGGCGCTCGATCACACATCCAAACCAGATCACAAGTGGGTACGTTGTGCTCAACTTCTCCTGCACCCGCTAACCAGTTTAGATCCATCACTTCTCAATATATTGATAACTTATCAGGGCTGCATTCCTACAAGTGAAGAACATATGGAACTCAAAACAACTGTCAACCAATATCAAAGTCACGATCTTCAATACGAACATCAAGACAGTTCTACTGTACGGAGCTGAAACTTGGAGAACTTCCACAAACATCATTGAGAAGGTACAAGTATTTATAAATAGTTGTCTACGCAAGATACTCATCAGGAACAACCTACTGTGGGAGAGAACGAACCGGCTTCCAGCTGAACAGGAAATAAGGAAAAGACGATGGAAATGAATGAGACACATACTATGGAAATCATCAAACTGCATGACAAGGCAAGCCCTACCTTGGAATCCTGAAGGGAAACGTGTAAAAGGAAGGCCAAAGTACATACTACGTCGAAAAACATAAGCAGATATGAAAAGGATGAATAGCGACTGGAAAGAACTGTAAAAGATTGCCCAGGATAGTATTAGATAGAGTGCTGGTGGGCGGCGTATGCTCCTGCACGAGGAGTAACAGGCGTAAGTAAGTAGGTAAGTAAGTATCAGATATGTCTTCGAACCTCTCCACTTCTGATTTCATTGGGTTGGCACGTTTTGATTATAGAAGTTGTTATTGCTTAAAGTGTTGTTAAAATTCAAATCGTTGCGGCATCTTCAATTTCTTTTCAAATAGCTTCCATATATTTTTGCTTATATTCTTTCTATTATCAACAGTAATATCTTTTTAGTGGTTAGTTTAATTTTTTTTCCAAATGCCCTGGTACGGCCGAGAGTGAGGAGAGTTGGCTGTCTCTCACGAAATGCTCTCACATGGCCACGTACATACAACCATTACCAGGGAAGTCCTATTCACTGCCTTCTCGAGGCCGCGGTGTTGTTTACGAAATTGAGAGGACGAAAAGCGAATGTCTGGCGCTTTAACCAGGTTGGTGATCACGGAAAGTCCACCTAGGGGAGTTGGAAAACCCTCATTCCAAACCAACGGTGTACTTGGGCTCCAGGATCCTAAGAAAACAAATGGCGTATGAGCCTATTGTTGATGACCGGCTACCATGTGATTGTATCTCCTCACGTTGCTCCACTACCTTGTGGACTAGACCTTTAGGTCTAAGGCTCTAGAAGTGTCCCCCCAAGAAAACCATCTGATTCGGTTTGGAAACTGGGGCAGTATCACAGCCCTCACAAAAATTAAATGAGTTATGTGTTTAAATAAATAAATACATAATAATAACACTGTTTCTCGTTAAATTGTCTTCAGTTTGTCTTCGCTTCATTTTGTTTTGTCGTCTTATTTTCTCAACCGATCCCCTTATGAAATCTAGTTTAGTTTAAATTGATTACTTACTTACTCCTGTGACTCCCAAAAGAGCGTAGGCCACCAACAAGCATTCTCCAACCCACTCTGTCCTGAACCATCCTTTCTAGTTACATCCAATCGTTGTTCACCCTTCTCATGTCTGTCTCCGTTTCTCGGTCTTTCGTTTCTCCTTTGAATTTGAGGATTCCATGTGAGGGCTTGCCTTGTGATGTAATCGAGTGCTTTCCTCAGTGTGTGTCATATCCACTTCCAACACTTCTTCTTGATTTCTTACTCCTCTGGAATCTAGCTTGTTCTCTCCCACAGTAGGTTGTTGCTAATAGTGTCTGACCAACCAACGGATCCGAAGTATTTCGCCTAGACAACTGTTAGTAAACACTTGTATCTTCTGGATGATGGACTCCGTAGTTCTCCATGTTTCCACTACATAGATTAGAACTGTTTTGACGTTTGTATTGAAAATTCTGAATTTGGTGTTGGTCGACAGACATATGTTTTGAGTTTCAGATATTCTTCAGTTGTAGGTGTGCTGCTGTTGTTTTGCCTATTCGCACCTTTACATGTGTATCAGATCCACCGTGTTCATCAATGATGCTGCCTAGATATGTAAAAGGTTTTTACATCCTCCAACGCTTCTCCCTCAAGTGTGATTCGATTGGTGCGTGTTGTGTTGTATCAGAGAATTTCGCTTTTCCATTTATGTATGTTGAGATCTACTGCTGTTGAGGTTGCTGCTGCTACACTGGTCATCTTCTTTCTCATTTGTTGTCGTGTGTGCGATAGAAGAACCAGATCATTTGCGAAGTTTGATTAGTATATCTTAAAACAAACATTCATTTGATTACATCATCATCATCATCATCATCATTCAATGTTGACTAGATCTTCTTTGATGAACATAATCTATTTCATTGTAATACTATAACTATATCCATCATATTATAATCATTAACTTTGTACCCCAATATTGTGTATAGATCAATATTGGTACAATTGTTTCTCAGCACAACTCTTAACACAATCATTCAATCTTCTAAAGAATTCATCTCATCTATTGATTGTAGCACAACAGGACAAAGATTATTACACTTCATTCCAATTGTAAATCAACATTCATTCTTTAAATAGTTTAAACTATTCTCTATACAGTTTAAATACTTGTTGAAATAACTATCAGTAATCATATTATTATGAGTATTAGTAGTAGTATTATTAGTAGTATTGCGATTACCATTGAAAAGTGTTAATGAAGAATTATTTGATTAGTACAGTGAAATGTAAGTGAATAATATTGATTTAATAGAAAGTATTATATAAATTCAATTCATTTGATATTATTGTTTACTTGTATCTTCTCATTGATGTTTACGACTGCAATTGATCAGTCTCTTTCTTGCTGGTACATAGGTGCATCTTGTCTCTTTATTGTCTGAGGTCACAAACATTATAAGCAAAGATAGTAAATAGCTAGCATTGGAATCCAGTTTAACAAGCGTTTCGTCCTGCTTTGATACTCGTCAAATGGATGCACCTGCATCTGAGTGTTGATGTTCACTCTGAGACTGGAACCCGCTGCCGTTCGATTCAAACACCATTGTATTATCCACTTAGCTACTGAGTGTTAATAGCCACAGGGTTGTGTGATGAGGTGACGTTTAATTCACTTGTTATTGTTTATTTGAATTTTCCCATTGATGTTTAAGACTGCAATTGATAAATCTCTTATTGGTATATGTGCATCCTGTGAGTATTGCATGAATATCGCCTTAATTCACAAGATTTATAAGCAAAGATGAATAGTGGTTAGCAATGAAATCCAGTTTGACACACGTTTCGTCCTATTTGGTACTCGTCAACTGGATGTATATGAATCCAGAGTTGATGTTCGCTATCCATCTCTGCCTATAAAATTATTAAATTAATTTCAGAGTTTTACTTTCATATTAAATAAAAATTATATTTTAATTGTCAAATTCACGAATCAATTGAAGCCAGACCGTCATAGAAAACCCGCCATGGAACTCTTCAACAGTGCGCACCCACGACGCTGTCTGCGAGACTCTAACCTAGGACCTATCAATCTCGCGTACGAGCGCTTAACCCTTAGACTACCGAGCCGGCATTCGACGGTGTTAATATCTAAATTTGAATCTCGCGAGGCAGGGTTCTTGGATACGCACTGCTGAGGAGTCCCGCAATAGGACGAACCAACCGTTCAATACTTTCAAGTTTTCCATGATGGTCTAGCTTCAATTGATTCATGAATTCAACTATTAAAATTACTATAATATCCTTTCACTGATTATAAATATGATCTTCTTTTCACTTTAGTTAAACAACATCTAGAAAGTGATCTAACACAATCGAATAGTAAACAAGTAGGTTATTGATCCATTTGTTTATTTAATTACATAACAATAACATAATATATTTAGATAGTTATGGAACCAATTCAACGAATATCTGGTATCCTATTTTATATTAAGGTAAACTAATCCATAAATGATACTTCGTTTGAAAGGCTAGTGGTATAGCATTAATACAATTAATCATCATATGGGCAATGAATACTACTGTAATATTAGTGTGAGTTTATTTTATTCATTTAACCAATACATACTACTTATTATTCAGTCATACATTCAAGGAATGGTTACAATCTACAAACTGGTTTGTTGGATTGTTTTTGTAAGTTATTATTAGTATACTACTTTATCTGAAGTTTTCTTGTTGTTATGGTAAATGTGTGTATATATGTAAATGATTAAAAAATTGAAGGAAAAATGGGCGAGACGATAATTTATGGACGAGCCAATCCGAGGCGTTTTAGAGATTTCAAGGTTACGGCGCAAACTTCAGTCTTTAAGGTTAACGTACGATCGGTTCATAGGGAATTTTGTACAAAGCGTGATTATTGAGCGGCTATAGCAAATAAAACGACGAGATTATAATTTGTGGACGAAACAATCAGGTATAAGATAATAGATCTCGGATTTAGACACGAAAGCCTTTCATCCATTTGGCTAAACAGAGTTTTGGCTTTATAGCTGATGTCAGTTCCTGATGAAAACCCTATATATGATTGTTAACTAAGGCAAATTATGACAATTATTGCGAACTGGATAATAAAAGCACCCGTAACACTGGCTGCAGCCAGGTACTACAATATATACGGATGTTTGGAGAGCGTACAGACTCCTACATAGGCTTGGTTGTGTGCACCGTTTCGTTATCCACCAGTAGCATTTTGTGCACTCAACAACCGGAGTGCACATAAACAATATTGAAGCTATGTGGTCGGGATTGAAAGAGCTTTTGCTGCCAAAGACCTACTGTTATGTAGCCATATGGATGATTTCCTCCTCTTTCTAACCTTGACAATATTTTGAACCACGTATAAGAAGTGTATCCACTTTATTTCCTTGGTTTTGTATAATATATTTTTACTTTATACTGACTGTTTGCTGACTGGCTAATATTTCTCAAGGTCGCTTAAGATTCATTCAAGGTTCGTCCATAAATTAGAGTCTCGCCGAAAAATGTGTATACTGTTAGTAGATCATTAATAATGATGATCTATGCCGAATGATTGAGGATCTACTCGAGTTAGACAGGAATGGTGTGATGAACCAACGAACTTCGATGTCAGCATCTTAAGTGAATTGGATATATCAAGGTACTATGGATGCTTTGAAGATTGTACATCACAAAGGACGTTATTACAGCAATATGTATGTTAGTTAAATTAGGTGCAAGAGAGAAGTTGCTACCATCACTTTATGGACCAGTTCAAGGCATACGATAAATTGATGTGAGTTGGTTGTCCTTGATTTTGAAACAGTTCAATGGTCTGTTCGATATTCAGTGATCCAACTGCTGGATGTATTGTTTAGGGCTCAGGAATATTTCACTGGCCCTAAATATTCAAATATCTAACATAACAGTCCAATTCACTTGGTGTTGTTTTACTTGTATCTTCCCATTGTTATTTAGGATTGTAATTGATCAGTCACTTGTTGGTATAGGATGAAACACACGTTCTGGATTCCACTGCTAGCCAATATCCATCTTTGCTTATAATAGTTAAATGTTTGTATTACTCTTAATTAACCGCACTTTTTAAGTAATCATCATACTACCCAGTAATAATCATAGAATCCAAGTTCAGTTTAGCAATTCACCTGATGTTAATTACATTGAAGCGTCTAACTACACGATTGAGACATGCATGAAACTGAAGTTTAAAAAACAACGATTTGTCTAAATAAGGGTTCTTTATTGTGGAATAAACACAAATGGATTATAAACCTCAACTCGTGACATATGTATGTCAATTAACACACCTGTATTTGTGGGAGCAGAAAGGTTTCAAGAGCGTAAATGACAGCTGACAGCTGTGTTTAATGTCAACAATAGTTTGTTGTAGCAGTTCACGACGTCTAGACAGAAGTTACTTAGTGTACTAGGATAGTATTCAGATTAGCGTTACTGAAGAGGGTAAAGGTTAGATGACAACGCAGCAATCATACACAATACACTTACATTCACTACAGAAAGCAATCAGAAATAATACAAGCCTTAGATCAAGACAATTTTGCAATTAAAACCAGAAGCCGGTGGTTTCACTCACTACAATATCGGCAACTAAAATGGCAACTAAGAGCATATAAATATGAAAACTGTTACGTTTAAACGAAAGCTCAAAAGATATACATAATTGGAATAACTGATAATAACTACAGTAAATACTTTGGGGGATGACACCAAAAATAAACTAGCACCAAGTCATCCGATTAGAAATTACTATACATACAACCGTTTACTGAATATTAATAAGTAGTATAAAATAAAAAACAAAATACAAGTCAAATTAGGCGAGAATATGGACAGGAAATGCAAGTGAACACCTAGTGTATTCTATTACGATTTGGATTGCAATGTTGCCATAAGTAACAATGTTTCGGTCAGACTTTCATTATTTAATCAAATCTTTCAAGATATATAAAGCTAGAATATTGAGGATATTAAAATCGAATATGATGGGAAACTAATAATACCGTAGGTGCAGTGAAATGTTGCCAAATCATAAGGCAATCGGGTCACTGAATATTGAACAGATCATCGATCCCTGTCATGGTCAAGGACAACCAACTCACGTCAGTTAATTATATACCATGAACTGGTCCATGAGGTGGTGGTCACAATTTCTCCTATGTACCTACAATAAATTATATATATATTACTGTAATAATGGTCTTCGAAGAATCCATAGTACCTTGATACATTGAAGGGACAATCCATGTTATATTGCTGACCGCGAGGTGTGACTTCGACATCCATCTAACTTGAGTAGGCCACAAATAATTTCGACAGAGATCACCTACGTTGGCGATCTTCAATACGATCACAGTGACAGAAATGTAAACGGATGTTTCGCTGATTAGTTCCATCAAAGTAATGCCAGCTTCTACAGTGAACTGATCGTAAAAACGATTGGGTACACTTCAATCTACTTTATATCAATAAGTAGTATGAATGACTCACAAAAAGTCAAACATGAATTTAAATATGATGAAAGTATCATAATACGATTCAATCGTAACACCTGCCTCATTGTCATCAATTCAATTTAGTCAAAATTAATTTGTTTACATTTGAAACCGCTGAATCCGTGATATAAGATGATTATTAGGCATTGTATTCAATGAATAACCATCATAATCCCTACATGATTTACCTAAATCCATCAAAGTATCGTTCGATCATTAAAATATCAGTCATTATTTCTATATCATATTTAGTTTATTTAGAAATCATAGTGCGAAATTCATTTTGCTTATCGTTTTTAATTTTTCACATTAGTTTATTTCAATGTATATATGTGATTTGTGATTATTACAGCTTTTTGGGACTCTTTATTGATTTGGAAATCATTCTAATGCCACGAGTGCAATTTATTTTTCCATTAAATTATATACTATTGATATTCAATGTAAGTAGTTAGAAAAAACACTTGAAAATATTTACCATTAACATCATTATATGATTTGATGTCGATAGTGTATGTATTTAAGTTGATTCCTTTTTTAATATAAAGACACATTCATTTATATGAGCTATTCTAATTCAAAACATTTAGAGTCAATACATATAAATAACCAAATGACTGGTTAACTGTATGATTTCATTTCATCCTAATTAGTTGAGCAACTGAAGAATGTTTAGATTATCTCTTTTACCAGGTTCTAGAATTTCTAATGATGGTTTATATAAAGTTGGTATCTTATTCGGGACACTTAAACGGCTTCATGGAATTGACTTTGTAGCTGATATTAGGTAGTTGGATGTACTAATAAGGAAAACTTGAACATACGTTTTGTAATAGTTGGCAACCATAAGTATTTATAAATAGTTGTCTACGCAACATACTCAACATCCATTGGCTGGATACCATCAGCAACAGCGTACAGTGGAAGAGAACAAACCAGCTTCTAGCTGAACAGGAAATTAGGGAAAGACGATGGAAATGGGTAAGACATATATCACGAAAATCACCAAACTGCATGATGAGGCAAGCCCTAACTTGGAGTCGTGAAAGGAAGCGGAAAAGAGGAAGGCTAAAGAACACATTACATCGGGAATTAGAGGCAGATATGGAAAGGATGAATAACAATTGGAAAGGAGTGCTTAGGATAGGGTTGGATGGAGAGTGCTGGTAGGCGGCCTATGCTCCTTCACGAGGAGTGACGGGCGTAAATAAATAACTAAGTAATCAGTATACCACATTCACTTTGTTGACGAGTATCTGCTAGTATAAAACTTAGTTATAGCACTTCCCGTTAGTTGCACACAATCATCAAAATATACTGGCTGCAACACTATACTTGGTCATTTAGACTAGTGGAAATATTGCAAATTGAATGAAATGGTTCAGTCAGCCACTTTCGAATTCACACTTCATACATCTATAATGAACTGACAGCTCAATTTGTTAATCAATGCTCGTTCATAACTTCGTTCCATACATTTGCCAAACAATATCGTTCAAATAAGTGTAGAGTAAAAACCAGTACAGTGAAAGATTTGAAAGTGACATTTTTCACTTTATTGTCGATTACTACTGTAGAGCCAGTGAAATGTTACTGAGCTCCAGCCGAATCATCTAGCAGTTGGGTTATTGAACATTGAAAAGATCATCGATCCCTGTCAAGGTCAAGGAAGACCAATGCACATCTGTTAATTGTATGCCATTGACTGGTCCATGCGTTGGTGGTCACACATCCACTTGTACCTACTTTAACCAATATATATTGCTATAATAACGTCCTTTGTGATGTATGGTCTTCAAAGCTTCCATAGTACCTTAATACGACCAAGAGTTAATCGACGTTAGATGCTGAACGCGATGTATGACTTCGATATTAACTGGTTGGTCACATTATTCTCGTGTAACTCGAGGTGTCCAATCATTCAACCGACATCATCAACGTTGAGGATTTACACCATTCTGTTAAATATATATTACATTTAATTTAATGATTAATGATTATTCAGCAGATAGATGATCTGTCATGTTGATTCTTTATTCTATTTATTTGTTTTCATTCAATAGTCGATCATTCTTTCAATTCCAGTTTCAAGGTTTCTATGTGAATTGAAAACGTTATGGATTCCATGTAGTTGGGTTATTACATTGGGAATTACATTGCTGACTATAATATTTGGCAAATTAATACGTTTCGATATACAAACATCATTGAATATATTCCTTACTGTTATATTCACTTTACAAGTAGTAGTTTATATTGCTATGATTATATTAAATTATTATGGTTACTTTGATGTAAGTAAGATAATTGTATAATTTAAACAATTAGAGAGGAGGGAGGTTGTAGAGATTTTAGTAAATTAAGTGATGAATTCATGAGTCAGTTAAAGCTAGACTACCATGAAAGCACTGGATGGCCCAGTGATGATGTCGGCTAGAGATTAAGAATCCGCACACGTGACTGATAGGTCCTGGGTTCGAGTCCCTTTGGTGCGGGATTGTGGATACGCACTGCTGAGGAGTTCTATACTAGAACTTCCAGTGCTAGTGCTCCCAGGTTTTCCATGGTGGTCTAGCTTCAATTGACTCAGGAATTCAACTATTAAATTGCTAAAACCTCCACAAAACCCCTTTTTGATTATGATTATGAATGAACAGATGTTTGAAAGGATAATTCTGTGGTATACTAATGATGCCGGCTCGGTGGTCAAGAGGTTATGCATTCGCGCACGCGATCGATAGATCAGAGTCGTTTTGGTGCGGGATCGTGTGTGCGCACTGCTGAGGAGTCCCATACTAGGACGAAACGGTCTTCCAGGTTTTACATGTTGCTCTTCAATTGACTCATGAATTCAACTATTGAATGCAAACAATCTTAATTGAATTCATTTATTGTGGATAAAGCAATAAGATATTGCCTTATGGAGTTGATTATCTAACAATTCGATATTAAAGACATTACACTCATTAGTTTTATATCTGTCGCTTTCTTTCCTATTCATGACAAACATCAATGTCATCCCTTTACAGTAATTTTTGTTGTTAATAAGCTAGCCATTGTAAATAGACGGTTATCTTTATTATGTTTTCTAGCTACCACCTATTCCTGTATGTAAACGAGACTGATAATGAAGTGGTAGAATCAATACAATTAGAGTTGATCAAATTATGAACATATCAACGCATAAAGTACTGGATCACTAGTTAGATGCTTTTAGATTTACAGTGATTATTCAGTTAATGTTAGTCAGTAATGATTATTGTCGCTGAATACTTTTCCTCACCTTACGCCTGTTACTCCCTATGGGGTATAGGCATCCAATCAGCATTCTCAAAACCACTATGTACTGGGCCATCCTTTCTAGTTACATCCAATCGTTGTTCACCCTTCTCATGTCTGTCTCCGTTTCTCGGTCTTTCGTTTCTCCTTTGAATTTGAGGATTCCATGTGAGGGCTTGCCTTGTGATGTAATCGAGTGCTTTCCTCAGTGTGTGTCATATCCACTTCCAACACTTCTTCTTGATTTCTTACTCCTCTGGAATCTAGCTTGTTCTCTCCCACAGTAGGTTGTTGCTAATAGTGTCTGACCAACCAACGGATCCGAAGTATTTCGCCTAGACAACTGTTAGTAAACACTTGTATCTTCTGGATGATGGGTTTCGTAGTTCTCCATGTTTCTACCCCATATATTAGAACTGTTTTGAAATTCGTATTGAAAATTCTGAATTTGGTGTTGGTCGACAGACATATGTTTTGAGTTTCAGATATTCTTCAGTTGTAGGTGTGCTGCTGTTGTTTTGCCTATTCGCACCTTTACATGTGTATCAGATCCACCGTGTTCATCAATGATGCTACCCAGATATGTTGTCACTGAATAGTAAATCTAAATCTACACTTACTCATTCAGATATATAATAATAATGATAATAATAATTATTATTACTATTGAATAGGTCATTCTGATTATTTCTGGATCAGGAATGCTATTGACAATCATTTATGTAAGTAATTTACTAATGTAATTTAAATGCTTGTTATCACTTGTTATGGTTGATATTAGCGGTGTCATTGATATAAATAATTGCAGGTTGTTTATGGATTCACTGAATGGTTGTCTCAACTTCTCATTTAGTAAAAATTTGATTATATTACGGATAGAGTGTCCATCAATGAAACATAAAATGTGTGTTTCGTTATGTTTAGAAGTTATGAACAGTTTCAATCTGAGTTCCATTAAGATGGAATATGTGCTCAAGATTTCACTATTAGCTTCCATTCAAAGTATATTAAATGTTTCTGTATTCTTCATAGCTTTCTTCCTTGTCGAAGATTTATTACTTATCATGGTAAATTCTATATTTAGTATTTTTAATCAAATATCACTACTGATTTTAAGCAGTTGTTTGTTTTAAGATATACTAATCGAACTTCACAGATGATCTGGCTCTTCTATCGCACACACGACAACAAATGAGAAAGAAGATGACCAGTGTAGCAGCAACAGCCTTAACAGCAGTAGATCTCAACATACATAAATGGAAAAGCGAAATTCTCCCATACAACACAACACACACCAATCGAATCACACTTGAGGGAGAAGCTTTGGAGGATGTAAAAACCTTTTACATATCTGGACAGCATCACCGACGAACACGATAGATCTGACACACATGTAAATGTGCGAATAAGCAAAACAACAGCAGCATATCTACAACTGAAGAATATCTGGAACTCAAAACAACTGTCTGTCGACTAACACTAAAGTCAGAATTGCAAATACAAATGTCAAAACAGTTCTAATGTATGGGGTGGAAACATGGAGAACTACGAAACCCATCATCCAGAAGATACAAGTAATTATTAACAGTCATCTACGTGAAATACTTCGGATCCGTTGGTTGGTCAGACACTATTAGCAACAACCTACTGTGGGAGAGAACAAGCTAGATTCCAGAGGAGTAAGAAATCAAGAAGAAGTGTTGGAAGTGGATAGGGCACACACTGAGGGAAGCACCCAACTACGTCACAAGGCAAGCCATCACTTAGAATCTTCGAGGTGAAAAGAAATGAGGAAGACCGAAGAACACAATATGGCGAGAAACGGAGACAGACATGAGAAGGGTGAACAACGATTGGATGTAACTAGAAAGGATGGCCCAGGACAGAGTGGTTTTGAGAATGCTGATTGGAGGCCTATACCTCATAGGGAGTAACAGGCATAAGTAACTAATTCATTACAGGAGAGTAACCGGTACTTGTTCATCGTTTCGTTGGAGTCAATTTTTCAAGGTCTACACTTACATGTGACTTAACACTGTGTTACACTTTGAATAATGTTCTACTATTGAAACCCATATTTGTTCAAGGTTTTGGGTGAATGTGCAAGTGTTATTACATGAGGGTGCTCTTTAAATTTTACACTGTACATGCTATTCACAATCAAGTAATCTCAATTGGATTAACATTGAATATTATAGACTAATGGATAGTTATAACACGAACCAGTTGTTATGGCCAATGTGTATGAATGAATATTAGCTAGGTAGTTGAGAATACTTCACGAGACTCAAAGCTCCAGTGTTCCATTCATGACATGTTAATGGATATGTACTTCTGAAAAGCTACATAAAAGTAACAATTTACTGTTTAATATATTTCATTATGATCAGTGTTATATCGACTGATGAGTATATGTGATAGCTCCCACCTACACAATACTTTTACATGAATTACACAATTATTATATGAACTGTATGTCATAATGAGTAGAAAGTACTTGTGTACTCTTATCTGATTTTCCGATGCACTGAAGGGAGGTTTAAGGAATGGGTAATTGGTGTGAAATATTGACCATTTGACAAATACAATGGTGAAGTAGGTGAGTTAATTGTTAGGGGGTTGGGTAATAAGAAAACATACATCCATTCTTAAATAACTCACTACAGTTTCACAAAACGCTTTTGTATTAATCATTTTCACATTCTGAAGTTAGCAAACTGAAAATGCCACAAGTATTTGGAGTTTAACAACAACACTTTAACCAGTAACACCTTCTATATTCGAAATGTGCCCACACAGTGAAATCAGAAGTGAAGTGGTTTAGAAATATATTTGATAGACTATCAATGTATCGAGAACCGACTGATCTAGATTGGCTAGCGATTGTAAGTGATGTTGAGCACGGCATTCCCACACGTGATCTGGCGCGGATGCATGACCGAATGCCTTCAGCTAGATGAGTTCAGTATCGAATATCGAGGACTTACAGAGCTATTGATTTTGGGAACTTATTCACAGATACAAAACTAAAGAATAGATATTAACAGCCACCTGAACTATAATATTTTGTCCTAGTATGGGGCTCCTCATTAGTGCGCATCCACGATCCCGCCTACTGGGTTGGAACCCAGGACGTATCTGTTTTCCATGGTAGTCTAGCTTCTAATGACTCATGAATCCCCCATCTGATTACAATATTTTGTGTTTACTCATTGCCGAGATTGAAATTCACAGTAACAGCACACATAAGTTAAACGATGGTTACAGACATGGTTTTTAGATAATTGATGATGATATTGATAAAATTATGTAAATGTATTTCAGGAATTGGCAATTGCAACTCAAGCAATTTTTCCAGGTGATAAACGATTCATATTTCGTGATAATCAATATTTTCTATGTGGATTAGTTCTTGCAACTATAATGATTTGGATGAATATGATTATTTCAAGTGAAATATTACTTATATACAATGTATTCAATAATACAAATCAACATATTTGAGAGAAACAAATGGATATATACCTATGACTTCTCTATACACATTCACTGTTCATTGTCTATTCATTGTTTATAGTGTCGGTTGCTATGTTAAGCCCACAGATCTTATTCTAGCTGTCGGACAGGTCAATTAATTCATTCATCTCGTGTCACATTTTGATTTTCTTAATTATTCACTTATCAAACTCCACTGTTATTATATGAGCACATTTGTGTGTGCTCTTCATATCCTATTCATCCCATGTTCGTAGTTTATTGTTGTGTGACTATCATGATTGATCAACGCTTGACGACATGGGAGATGGCCCACATGCCTTCTCTACTGCACATCCTTTCGTTCCACTTCGCTCTCTCTTTTCTTCTCTTGCTTCGCTACGTTTTCTGAGTATCTGTTCAGATCAATGATTGCACGAAATATATGTATTTGAGATATCCATTCTCGTATTTGATTTAATTTTGTTATTCACCAGCATGATCTAAGTCGACAATTATATAAGAGGAATGACGATATGTATATCTCAATAGCAATCAGAAACAATCTCATTGGAGTCAGATTCTGGGCCACTAAAGTAATGAGCCTGTTAACAACATGGTCCGATCTAATTGACATCTAAAGGAAGGGCCCCACTACACGTTGTCTTTTGTTATGTGAAACTGTTATCATGATCATAAGATCACTCACATTTCGTTTGCAATAATACTAGAAATTGTGATACCAATTTCTTTTTTTCCTATGTGATATTTTAAATGAATCTTTCCCAATTATAGATATGTGTTGTTCTTGTTATGCTACATTTCTGTACGTCTTTAAGTTATTAAGCAAAGATGGATAATGGTTAGTAGTGGAATACAGCTTGACGCGTGTTTCGTCCCGTTTGAAACTTGTCAGTAGCTAAGTGGATAACGTGATGGCATTTGAAGCGAACGGCACTAGGTTCGAATCCAGGAGTGATCATCAACCCTGCGGTGCAGGTACACCCAGCTGACGAGTCCCAAATAGGAGGAAACGCGCGTCCAGGATTCCACTATCAGCCGCTATCCATCTCTGCTTAAAAAGCTTGTGACTTAAAGCAATATCGAGGTAATCCTCACAGGATACACATACGCCAACAAGAGACTGTTCAATTGCAGTCCTAAATAACAATGGGAAGATATAAGTAAATCAACACCAAGTGAATTTGTCTTTAAGTTATGTTTCCATTGCTGTGTATACGAAGTTGAACTGTTTCGTTTTATTCTGCTTGTTCTACTATAAATATAAAGTTCTCACACAATTTGTCTCTACCCTGTGTTATGCGCTAGTTCTTGTTATTGATTTACACAGAAGAACCGGCTGTATTACAGTGAACGAGAACATAAGTGGGAACAATCAAATGTACTTGAATACACAATTATAAGATCTTTTAGAAAAATCTGAGAACCATACAGTAAATACTTCATTTGCAAAATGTCAGACTTTATTGTGACTTCGTTTCCACAGTAATCCTTCACTGTTCTCGTTTCTTAGATCTTCTGCTGCCAGACATTTCATTTTCGATTGATGATACACACTACTGATATCTATCGATATCAGTAGTACACATCACAGTATTAGAGTAGTTCAAGTGTTCCTAATTTCGCATGTATTATAACTCGAAATATTAAAACTTAACAGAAACTATTTCCAAAAGGAAACTGATCAATGAAGTTTATACTTCTCCAATATTTCAATTAGGTATGATGAGTAGTCTACAGTTGCAATACAGTTATATTGATTTACGTTACGCCTTCAAACAAACACCTACTTTTTCTTTAGATGTCAGTGAATTCAATACATGGGAATTAATTAGTTAGAGATAAGTTTCTTAAATAAATCCCTATTCTGTCACACATACACACACAGTCTTAGTCAAAACCAGCAAGTATAATCTGTTTCTAACAAATAATTTAATGGAATGTGGTGTTTGTATGAACTAATGATTCCTTTGTACTTGATTGACCACTAATTCCATATAGAATACGTTCTTTTGTACTCATCTAGTTGTATATCCCTTAAATTGCACTATTTCTGAAATTCCCAGTTAGTATATTAATTCGAATACTTCTAATCATTATATTGGTGTTGCGATGGCGTTGGATATTGATTCAAGTAGGGATGACTTTGAGGACTATATATGGAGCAGTTCGAAATTTGCTGTATGACTAGGAAACAGATTAAAGATGATAAATTCACTTCTTATTTCTTGACGTTCGTAGACAAAGAAGCTAATAACCTGCTAAAGAATCTGAGTTTTTTCAGAGAAACTGATTGCATTGTCATATGAATCTTCCAAGAAATTACTTCTTAGTCATATGCAGTGTGCTAGCTTGGAATGAAGAGAGAGAGACCAAAGTTTCATAAAATGATGAGAAAGTTAAAGACTTTATCACTCAAACTACAGAAACAGATCATGAAGTGGAATTTTAGACACTGATAAGAAACTCAACTTCATGATCGGTCGATTGCTGGTATAAATGTTCCGAATTTATAAAACGAATTAATTCAGAAGCTTAAAAGTTCATTTCAAGAAGTTGAAACAGCCTATACTAACTATTTTCAGTCAGTGGAAATTTCTAATACTTTGTTTATTCGTCGTGATGAACTACACTCTCGGCGTTGTTCAAAATCGCGTTTGTTTAATAATGGTTCTTATTCTCGTGGAAATATGTAAAGTGAGTCAACAAGAAATTTTAAAACTGATCAAAATTGTGAACACAGGTTTGGTAAATATTTGTCCAGTGACGAATTTCACTCATGTGTATTTCGTTATGCTATATGCTTTGAATGTGGTAAAATTGGACACAATCAGTCAGTTTGTAAAACTACTGTATATCTCACCGCATGTAACATTAATCTTTGTAGTTCCGATCCTATTAAGTCGAATGTTTCTAATGATCCACGTTTTCGAAAGCTAATTTCTATATTCAGAGGCGATTATATACTTCCTTTGGTTCATTCCATGTTTTATTATTGACACATGGATACGAAGGACCCACCTAGGGGAGTTGGAAAACCCTCATTCCAAACCAATGGTGTACATGGGCTTCAGGATCCTGAAGAAACAAATAATGTATGGACCAAATATTGGTCGCCAGCTAAAATGGGAATGCATCTCCTAACGTTGCTCCACTGCCTTGTGGATCAGATTAGGTCGAAGGCTCCAGGTGTGGACCCCTAAGGAAACCGTCTGCTTCGTTTTGGGTTCCCGAGCAGTACCACAGCCTACACACAAATCAAGTGACTTCTGTGGCGCATATCTGTTTTGTGTCTCCTTGTGCAAATGTTTGTGTTTAAATAAATAAATAATCAGTGTAAACTGATAAGTCTTTCAATTGGACGCTTGACCAGGTTTACTAAGTTATTCTAGTAACCTTCAGGCTAAAACAACACGGCAACTTCAACACGAGAGAAAAAGCGCAAAATATGGAAGGACGCTTTACTCTGAAGTTAGTTTATGTACAGAAAACCAAGGGTATTTATAGCATCTAAGATGGCCTTGAGCTTCTGGAACTCTTCTAAACATAGTAGTAGGACAGATAATCATCGGCGAGACTATAATTTATAGACGAACCAATCAGGTTTACGATAACAGGTCTTAAATTTTGGCGCGATATTCATTCACCCATTTGGCTAAATAGTCTTGGCATTATCGCTGATGTCAGTTCGTGAAGAAAACTCCAAGCCTAATTCCAAACATTCAACTGTAAATCATAATCCTTATCGTTCAAACTAATGTAACCCTCATTTAGCCTTAGTAAATAGGTAGACACTCTCAAGGTCACTTTAGCGCCCCTCAAAGGTCGTCCATAAATTATAGTCTCACCTAATCATCTAGTCAGAAATGTGACTTCCCACTTTACAGGTGTCTCTGCGAAACTTCTATTGAATGCTGATTGGATAAGATGCTTCTCAGCGTTGTCAGGGTTCCTTTAAGTTTTTTTTCGAGGGATTTTCTGGGTCCACCCAACATAAACGAATGGTATCAGATACAAAAATCACTGTTAAAACTAAGTACGTTCAAACTAGCAACTTTTATGTCTTAGAAATTCAACATAGGTCGAATTACAACTTGCGTGAAGCACCTGAACTTAACATTACTTATACGGGCTATAGTAGCTCATGTGCAATTGAGTTTGTTCATATTTAATTTGATTAAGCCCTTTTGTTAACTTATTTAACGGACAGAGTCATCCGTACAATGACAACTTATCTATACCATTGTATGAATATGTATGATTGAGCACTACTTACTCCTTAGGTGTATATTCATTCTGCTAGCCTTACTATTAGTTGCTTAATTGATTCGATGATTCATTCAATTCACTATGTATATATATGTACATTTTTATCATGTTCATTGACTCGCTTGCCTGCTGTTTTTCGGCTCTGAACAACATCATCAGCACAAACTTTAGAATATAACTCATTTGAAGTATACTTTGATAGTAAGTCAAACTAAATAAGACTAGTCATATTGAACACTTCACAAAAGTCTCATATTTTCTTTACCATCAATCTAGATTGTCTTATTCTCAATTTAGTTTGTATGACAAGGGTGTTACAAGAAAGTGTATAGTTTATTAAAATATTTAATTTTAAACAATCTATGGACAAAACTTCAACAGTTTATGTCAAATGAGGAAGACCAATTTATTGTTTAAAGCATAATCACAGTGGTTTAAGTAAGATATGAAAATCATACTTCAAATACATCATTTGCACATCTTCCATCAAGAGTCTCTCAAACACTTTATTATTCTTTCATTCCTGTTGTTATCTTGATTACTTTGAGTTTCTATCTGTCTTCTCTTCATTTCCATCTTCTCAACCTTCTAGTTACAAAAATTCCACTTCAAACTAGTGTAACATACTACTACTACTATCTGCAAGCATAAGTAGTATATATCATACTATCATTACTTCATTGGAATATCTAACATAGATAATAATTTATGTCAGTCAGTCAGCTACAACGTAGGACCAGACACATATGCATCGGTTCAAATTGCCACACATTCCTATCCTTAGTTCAGGTATTGACACAGGTCAGTCCTGGAGCATTTAGAGGAGGAGAAGCACATCCCAAACATCCTGACATTGCTGCTCAGTGCTGTCAAAAGACTCTGTCTTTTATCAGCATCTTTATCAAACAGGACTGTATCATTTGCGTATTCTATGTCGATAAGCGAACCTCCTTGTAAGAGATCAATACCCAAAAATTCAGTCGACCGGGGCGTTATTTATGTATGTATGTACTTAACAAACTATCATCTATGGACGAACCAATCATATAAAAGATAACAGATTTTAAATTTCGAAACAAAATCTACTTATCCATTTGGTTAAATAGTTTTGGCATTATAACTAATTTCAGTTCGTGATGAAAACCCTAAATCTAATTCCTAACCTTAACCATCAACTGTAAATCATAATTCGAATTCCTCACATAGGTTTATAACCCTCATTCGGTTCTAGTTATTAGATGAACACTCTCAAGATCAGTCTAGCGTCGCTCAAAGGTCGTGAATAAATTATAGTGTCACCATATACTTCTGAGGTACACCTTTCAATGACAGACAGTCACAGAACCTGTTATATCCGATCGAAGATTAAACTACGAGTAACGTCTGAGACTTATTAATGGACTATTATTATTTATATATATTCTCATGGTATAAATATTCAGTAACTAGATTATGTATATCTATATTCCCCTTGTTATAAGCTTTATTTTGACCTATATGTTATTATTGTACGATTTACGGTTCCTAAGCTATGTTCAGTTTATTGACTACGGCCTCCCACGTTCACAGCCACTTTTTGGCTTTATTGTGTATGAATGTTATTTCCTATTTTATGGTACGTTGCGGTCTGTTTGGTTGATATATTAAACCCAGTATGTCTGAAATAAATGATTCGATTCGCATAGTGGAAGCTGGTATTGGTGTTCTGGGCTCAAGTGGACGAGCTAGGCGGACATAGGACCAATAAGGACGCAAGACTGCTCATACCAGTCGAACGTCATTGGTTTTCGCACAATGCGAAGATTGTATAAGTCGTCTTTTGATTGGTGGATAAATCACTTGATAACTAGCCGGACATAAAGTCATAACAGAACCTCTTGGTCAACAAAGTTAAGAAAGATCATCATCGTCAGACGCCAATAAACAATAAACTGTATTCTAAAGCTTGACAAATAGTGAGAATATATGATCGATGCAGACGCAACTATGTCTAAAGCCAGTCTGATTTTCTCATGTTTTCATAAGAAAAATTAAATTTTAACAAATTAACCTGTAGAAATACATTTACAAATCACTGATATCTTTATTATTATGATGATAATGATTGCCAATTAATTTACAAATGAAGTAATAAAAAAAAGGGATGATCATGATTATCATGGTGATAATGAGGATGATGATATTCTTGTCTCTCTTTCTATCTATCTATCTTAGTAGATGCAATTAGATTAAAATTAGGAAACGTTAAAATCATCAATGATTTGAAACGAAAAAAAAGAAGAAAAAATAAAAAAGATACAAATTAGAAAAGAAAACCTATTTAAAGCATAAATGAAAATATAGTGGATCTCTCTCTCTTTCTCTCTCTCTCGCTTTAATGGAATTATATTCATTATCAAGTTTCTATATTCGATATATTCATATTAGTTGGATAACAATCAACTAATGGCATAATTGTAAGATATGCATCAAAATTTTGCCATAATAATGTATAACTAACATGAAAGCTAATAAGGAAAGAAAAAAAGAAGAGAATGAATGAATAAATGATAAATAGGTTGTTGTTTGTTTTTTTTATAATTAAAATCGAATTAATTGTTGTAGGTGTTAAATCTTAGTGAAGAATAAATGATGGGTAACTTTTGAGAACTATTCATGAACTAATCAGTCAGTCAGTCAGTCAGTCAGTCAGTCAGTCAGTCAGTCAGTCAGTAACAACGTAGAACTTCGTACGTACATCAGTTCGAGTTGCCATACCACATTAGCACAGAGATGCAGTTGTCGATTCAAATCCCGTAGTGATAGAGGTAGCAAGAGTATAAGCAGTAACCGGGAAGATTAGGGTTTGGAGATGTTAGTTAATGAGTATAATCCAGTGAACCATGTCATTCAGGGTCTCTAACCATCGGTTGCTATCATCTCGTGGTCCCCAACCAGGTAGTCTACACCTACCATCATGACTCAGTCCACTTGTCAGTGGCTTCATGGACTTGTGCCATGTATATATATATATATATATATATATATATAAACAAAGTCACTACTCACGCTTACTTCATGGTCTTGTTGATTGTACTAAGTATTACTATATCATTTATTGTATAAATCCTTCTCATATGTATCAATAATAGCCCCCAAATGCCCTGGTACGGCCGAGAGTGGGGAGAGTCCGCTCTCCCTCTCGAAATACTCTCACACGCCCACGTGTATACAGCCTCTGCCAGGGAAGTCCTACTCACTGCCTTCTCATGGCACTACTGTTGTTTACGAAAATGAGAGGACGAAAAGCGAATGTCCGGCGCTTTAACCGGATCCCAAACAAAATCAATGGTGCACATGGGCTCCAGTATCCTGCGGGAACAAATAGCGTATGAATCAATCGTTGGTGACCGGCTATCATGGGACTACATCTCCTTACGATGCTCCACTGCCTTATGGGTCAGACCTTTAGGTCAAAGGCTCGGGGTGTGGCCCCCTAAGATAACCACCTGCTTCGGCCTGGGCACCCAGGCAGTATCACAGCCCACACACACACAAATATGGTGTGGCGCATATATATTTGGTGCCTCCTTGTACCAATATTTATGTGTTGAAATAAATAAATAGACCGACGATTAGCATTCTCCAACCCACTGACACATATATACTTGTTAAGATTTTTCGAAATGTATTACACTAATCTATTATCACATTAGTTTTAATAATCTTCATCTTCTTAATACATCTATCGAAATTTATCAAAAATGGGATTAATTACTTTAAATGAAATAAAGAATTACATATTGTATTATAATATAATAATATACCATATCAATACTTACGTAAAAGTTACGTATATATCATGGAAGTAAGGTAATTTCATAAGACATAATTTACTGAAAATAAATAAATGTAAATAGATTTATAAAAATCAGTTACAAGTTTGAATTATGTACTTTAACTGTTACATAATAGAAGTGAAGTTTTGAAACTGTTGTGTTATAATTTAACGACATTATTCTTCAATCTCAGCTATATTCTTATTAGAGTAAGATAACTGGTTTTGTAAACATTTCAGTTATTTAGATTTAATATTTGATAGATGAATGTACTAACTATGGTTATCACAGTATAGCCTATCACATGAATTTTATTTATTTATTTGAATACATAAATATTGGTACAAAGGGGCACCGAATACATACGCGCCACATAAATCATTCGATTTGTGTGACGGCTGGGATATTGCTCGGGTGTCCAGAATGAAGCAAGTGGTGTTCTTAGGGGGCCACACCTGCAGCCTTTGACCTAAAGGTTTAATCCACAAGGCAGTGGAGCAACGTCAAGAGATACAGTCCCATGATATTTGGTGACCAACGATTGGTTCATAAATTATTTGTTCCTTCAGGATAGGATCATGAAGCCCATGTACACCATTGGTTTAGAATTAGGGTTTTCCAACTTCCCTAGTTGGATCCTCCGTGTCCACCAACCCGGTTAAAGAGCCGAACATTTGCTTTTTTTCTTAATTTCGCAAACAACACCACCGTCACGAGAAGACAGTGAGTAGGGCTTCCCTGGCAGTGGCTGTGTACACGTGGTCATGTGAGAGCATTTGAAGAAGGAGAGCTGACTCTCCCCACTCTCGACTGTACCAAGGCATTTGGGGGCTATCAAGACAATGTGATTTTTCTAGTGAATATTTGTCTTCCAAAATTGCGTTAGTATACAATATTTCTCAATGCTGTTTAGGATAACGTATATGTTAAAAAGCAATAAACTGTGATTAAGCCATGAATCAAACTAATACGAGACAAGAACACTGTCATGAAACCTTTGGGAATATAATAACATGTGTTCTGCCCGTGGATAACGTTCAAACAACTAAAACTTATCCAGCATTGTGTCAAGTGAAGTGATTTGTTAGCTTCTTTACACTTTGAACTGATCTAGTAACAGTTATTGATGAATAAAGTGTGATATATGGAGATAAACAGAACAGTTAGACAAGTATTTTTAAACTAAACTTAACACAACTTTCATCATATCAATCATACTATAAATATTAAAAAATCTCTTTTAATCTTAATATGTACAATACACTACATACAGTAAACTTTGAATGAATGACGGGAACTAAAAGTTACATGCTTAGTTGGAAGTCCCTTCTACAATATTTTACGAGTTTGAAAAGAGAGAGCTTAAGATTCTCAGGAGACAGATCCAAAGTTGAATGATAGAATGAAGTATAATCTATTACATTGGGACTATACACATGTATTTTGGCAATACAGTATGGACATGAACATAAGCATTAAGGTTAAGTAAGGGAAATGGTAAGGATGTTGATGCTCGGAAACAGTTGAAAAGAAACATATTGTCTCAAAACTTCAATTGATAGATTTAAGTAGTCGAATTTCGCTCAGTGAATGGAATTTTGTCGTAACATAAGTTTTCTAGTGTGAAGATGATCAAAGTAAACAAGTCCCGGCTTCTACGTTGTGATTGACTGGCTAACTGACTTTACTTCCTATCACTAGTACAGGCGTTAGCTCAAACAAGTTTTGGACCAACATTTTGCACTTAAAGAGGGAGACACATCCCAAATATGTTCGGATTGTTGCTTATGGTAGATCAGAAGACTCTGAATTTTGTCAGCATCCTCACCGAACAGAACTATATGATTTGCACATTCTAGGTCAGTAAGTGGATTTCCTGGTAGATCAACCACTGAAAAGCCAGATGATGAAAGTGCTGTATTTAAAAGCCTGTCTATGACAAAGTTAAATAAAAATGGGTAAGTTGGAAAACCTTGGGGAACACCACTTGAAAAAATCAACCCCGATGACAATACACTATATTTTCGAACAGAGAGCCAGTATAAGGCTAATATACATCTTTAGTACATATTTCAATGAAAGACACTGACACAGAACATTACGAACAAAGTCTAACTCCCCACTAAGGTCAGGGAATACAACTATTATCATACGTCGAAAGTACGTCTATGTTCCAGAACCTGCCGAAGGCTGAATATCCGTTCAATACATCTACGTAAACGTCTGAAACCAGCCTAGTTTCCTCGGATCCGCTCTTCCCGAACCCTCGTTACGTGTCCAAGTATTATTAGGGTTAATATTTCAGATAACATTATCAAAGTTGGATTCACGAGTCAATATACGTTAAGTAAACATTTTAAACCTGGAGGAACTGGACGGTTATTTCGTCCTGGCGTGTGACTCCTCAGCAGAGTGTATCCACGACCCCTCACGCGGGAATCAAACCTGCGACCTTCAGTCTCGCGCGCAAATGACTAGCCTCTAAGCCACTGAGCCGGTATACAACAGTGTCAGTGTTTAACTTCAACCTCTCCATGATCTTGCGCAACCCTTCATTCAGCGTCTGAGGTGGTTAACTGTCTCACATTCGACGAAAATTGGAGTCTACTGATCACGGCTTCACATTAGAACTCCAGGAAATTTATCTTGAAGTCAGTTACTAGTGTGCATATGATTATTATTATTATTATTATTATTATTATTATCAGAATGGGGGTTTGTGCAAATTGTATTATTTTCAAAGTTGAACTAACGAATCAAAGCTAAGATATTACTTAAGACTACTGCTATTGTGGTAATATTTTTTAAAAACAAAATCAATGAAACGGTACGAAGAAAAACGGACTTTCGTTTTTTTTGTTTTCATTATTTGAATAAACACACAAAATTTATTAAACCAACATTTTAGTAGATACATGGTTAAATTGTAGGCTCAGGCATAACATGTAGATATCCCCGTTTGAATAACCGGTTGTGCCCATTTTGGTTACCTGTGCAGAAGTATCGTTGTTACTTGTCAATTCTGTGATTGTTTTGTCAGGTTAACGGACTAATAACACGTATTGTGGTTCATTATCAAGATAAGTCGGTTTTGGCCTATCGATGCTTACTGAGTCGATGTTTCCCTGTTTTTGTACAAAGAAATACTTAGGTTTTCTTGAGACAACATTTTATGGACCTTCGAATGGAGGACTAAGTGGTTTTTTTACTTCGTCATAACTTATCCAGACGTGTGTGCAATTGTTTAGGACCTTGGGTACATATGTCGAACGCGATTGTTCAAGAGTACTAATTGGTTTAAGTTTGAAACTAATCTTCGGGACGACTCTAGGACTACCGGGTGATCTTATCAATCTGCTTACTGACAGCAAAAAGTTACGTTGACCAACTACGGTACCAAATGTCCGAACTTAAACCAATTAGTACTCTTGAACAATCGCGTTCGACATATGTACCCAAGGTCCTAAACAATTGCACACACGTCTGGATAAGTTATGACGAAGTAAAAAAACCACTTAGTCCTCCATTCGAAGGTCCATAAAATGTTGTCTCAAGAAAACCTAAGTATTTCTTTGTACAAAAACAGGGAAACATCGACTCAGTAAGCATCGATAGGCCAAAACCGACTTATCTTGATAATGAACCACAATACGTGTTATTAGTCCGTTAACCTGACAAAACAATCACAGAATTGACAAGTAACAACGATACTTCTGCACAGGTAACCAAAATGGGCACAACCGGTTATTCAAACGGGGATATCTACATGTTATGCCTGAGCCTACAATTTAACCATGTATCTACTAAAATGTTGGTTTAATAAATTTTGTGTGTTTATTCAAATAATGAAAACAAAAAAAACGAAAGTCCGTTTTTCTTCGTACCGTTTCATTGATTTTGTTTTTAAAAAATATTACCACAATAGCAGTAGTCTTAAGTAATATCTTAGCTTTGATTCGTTAGTTCAACTTTGAAAATAATACAGTCTCCACAAATCTCCAAAATAGATACCATATTAGTCAAACTAATTCCTCAGCGATCGTCACAAGGGAATCGTTGTTACTTTTTACAGACTGGGACGATCAGCAATCTAGACTAGTCAAATGGAATTACGTTTAGTTCTCAGATTCTAATGATGTAAGTTGATATAACTGCTAAAACTGGACCACCATATTTAAAAATCTCTGATTTATGCAAATATTCGTCAATATTTGGGCGAGTAGTATGACAGGAATTGGACGTCGAGTAATAATAATAAATAATGTCTTTCTCTAGTTGTTCCTAAAATATGTTCTTACGTTCCTCATTATTATGTCGAGCTCGAGAAGTTTTGCATACTGCGATTTTTCTACGTCCAGTAAGATACAGAGAAATAAGTGCTCAAACTAGAGCATGACCCGATTCTAAACATCTGCTCCAGAATGAGCGATAGTCTTCTATCGTCTCCCAAACAATGTTCGATGGCAATGTGGTCTATTTGATTTAATCAATGTGTCCATTGTGTGAGTCACCATGTCAAACGATGTTTATCTTTATGCCTAGAGATAGACGGTCATCAGAGCATAGTTGGCACTATATGTTTGTTGACCGATGACATCGTAAAATACACTTGAACGCTTTTCAGTTTGGTTTAGTTTACTTACTTAGGTATTAAAATCACCCATTATTACCACATCAGGAAGTTTAGCTTCCTTAAGGCCGGAAATTTTCCTGTAAAATTCATCTTTTATTTCATTGGAATTGTAATCAGTGAGTTTAGGTAGAGGCAACGATGTGTACTCATCTTTTAGAGTTTTCACCTTCCTATTGAATCGGGTAGTGCAAAAGCGATTGTCTATTGGGATTCAGTCTAAGAAATTATATTCTACTTTCGAAATAAATGCTACACCAACAACAGCGGGAAGTATCAACGGGGTCCCCAGACACAAAAAGAGTAAATCGATCCGGTTCTTTATATTGATAAGGTGAGTTCGAATGGGCGACCGCACTTGGATCTCGCATGAGCGTTTCAAAGACGCAGAATACATCAATGGCACTAGATTTTATTCCCGGCTAAGGTAGCCCGTTGTTCTGTCAGACAAGGTTAAAACATTAACAACTCCAACATGTCTAGATTGTGGCTTCAGGAGGCCAGGAATAACATTTCGTAAGCTCAAATCATCAGCATTGGTGGCGCCTTATGATAGGGATATGCGAAAAGGGTTGTCCATAAAGATGGGAGAATTACTAATGGATGAGGGGAGACTTGATGGTGAACAAAGTGACCTTGGATGTTGTTAGAGGCATGGGGACGGTTTTCACCTCTTGCCTGTCCAAATATTAGTGGATATTTCTTCTTGATATGCTTGAATAAGAGTCTGGGTTAGCAATAGTTTTAGCGATCTGAGGGCTTGACCACAGAGCCTAACAGATAATTGTTTGAGGCCGGCCGCTCACGGCGTTTTTATGGGAAGTGTTTAATGAGTTAGCCCAGCGCCTTGAAACCTATCGCCGGAGACAGAAATCCGTGGGAACAGGCGAGGTTGTTCGAGGGAAACGCTCTACTATTTTGACACCTCTCTACAGTCAGTAGAACCTGCCGTAGAACATTAAGTCGTTACTTTTAGTTTTACTGCACCCCAACTGATCAACCTGAAATGGTAGGACCTAAAGGAAGATATGTTCCAGCCAGCATCACTCGGCTGAGTCATCACAATAAGCAAGCCCCACCACCACACCAAGTTGGGAGATACAGTCAAGTGATCAAAGTAGTTAAGAACAACGAATATAAAGGATGATAAAACATACGGTTTGCTGTATTAAACCCGTAGTATTCACTAGATTAAGTAGAGTGAAGCACTGTCGCAAAGAGTGGGCATAATGGATAACAGGGTTGCAAAGCATAAGCCAAACCACATTCGAAGCGTAACCCTTGTTAAACAACACTGTCACACGAAGTTCCAGTGGAATCAGCTGTGAAGTAGACACAATTATACATGAATTTGTTTACTGAAATTAACTAAATCTTGTTCCTTTCCCTGCCCATCTATTTTTAAATACCGATCGTAACTAAATCTGTAGTATATGAAATGGATCCAGATGAAAAATAACTACCAACTTACATTACATCGAAATGTTTATGCTCAAAGAGTAACTTCGTTGTCACATTCAGTAAAGTTTCGGAGCGAAGCGGTAGCATCTGAATGGAATTGTTAACAGTCTCCTGTAGATCCACTGAACGGTATTTTGGAGACACAATTATTTTAGTTATTGTGGTTGGAACAAAGTTAGGATTTGATACATTAATTTGGTTCTACGTGGTACTCACAAGTTATGAAAAATGAACATACAATCACTGTGAGATCTATCAAATTATCTTGCATGTTGGCAATGGCACTTATCGTAATTAACTTGTACGCTGAACTTCTCAGAGAGATTGTTCGCGGAAAGAGAAATACCAATAAAAGTATAAATACTAAGGAGCAGATCACTACAGACCCAAAAAGTTTAAGGCATATTCTACGCGGCCGAAGACGTCGGTCTGTCAGAGGGATTAAAGCCACATACTCTGCTCTGGAATCTGACAAATTTTTACACAATTTGCGTATAAAATACCTTTACGCACGTAGCCTGCTCCGGAACATGTTGGGCAAGCAACTTGAGGTGATATTACTTCATAACTTGGCATTCCAACTGACCTTGAGACTTTCAAGCAACCTCCAACTTCAATACCCAATATCTTCGATACGTGCGTACATATACTAACTGGTTTCTCTGTGGTCACTTCATGTTGATTCGGTATGATTCCACGTTTTTGATAATCCTCAATGAGGGGTTATTCAGCTACTCAAATGCTCTAGTTCTAGTCCGCTGGATGGTAAACTTCAGGTCCCAGTACCCCGTGAAATAGTAAAATAGATCTTAGACCGAAACCTTGACTATGTTATGCTTCAACAAAGAGATTGATGATCGCTTCGTTTCAGGCAATAGGTCATCACTTCCGATCTTGGGTGATCTGTACCTTAACTCGTTAACTAAATGGCCCTCCAACTTCCAAGAATTCTCAAATCCCTCATTTGCTTCACTAAATACAGGTATAAACTCCCATGCTACACGGCCTGCAAGCACTCTGCGTTTCACACGGTCTACGAAGAGCTATGCAGAGGTATTTGTTGCCAGTCTAAGTAACAGACCTTTGACAACAACGTAACTGAAAATAACGTCAGCATCAACTATGTGAACGTCATCTGTCTAAAAAGCAACCTTTTTGTAAAATCCATTTTGGTTTGTCCTCGCAAAAATACGGGAAAAATCATATTTCTCCTTATTAGTACTATCCCAGTATTTTGTTGTACTTATTGCTGCTCCTATGACTTTTGTCATTTCGCATATGTGCTTCTTTTTTGTATTTGGCTACAATCATTGATAGTATATTGTTTACAGAATAGAGATTTGCGGAGATTGTAGCAATTTTTCATGGTTGAATTCATAACTCGACTAAGAATTGTTTATAAACTCCAACACTTCGTTAATTATCTGACAGTGTTGTGTCTTTTGAGAACTGTTTATCATTGTTTTACTTGACATCATTTTATGTCGGATACCACATCGGCAATCTATACTTTGGCTATTACATCTGATACATGTTGCCAATATTAAAAGCGTATCCGCTGTTTGATTTGAGAACTTGCTCTACAAAGGACTTGGAATTAACTACATTTTTTATCCAACTCTTGTTTTCTTGTTGATCGATCATCTTTGGGGCTGATTGAACAGACCATTCCTTGGGTAGGATATTGTTTCTCGCCTAATAGGAATGTTCCCTTTATGGTGATAAGTGGTATTTGGAAAAATCCTGTTACAGTTGGGAAGTGCTGTTCGGGCAGTATTAGATTTGTTTTTTCTTACATTTTTCTAATAGTACCTTCCTCACCATTTTGGACGTCTCTCACTTTTTATGGAAAGTTGTGTATTATCGCCTTCTGAAATACTAAACTTGAAGTAACGTAATAATGGCAATAACAACGAGACAGCCACTGTGGAAGTAATCCATTACTAGGTTCATCATACTTCTCTGTCAGACTCTCCACTTTGCCACAAAACAGCAATCCTGCATCAAACATTTCAGTGAAGTCTTTAGGCAAACAACGTCAGCAATGAAACTGTTGGCAAATTGCAAAATTAACGCATTCAAGTAGAATCATGGGCTTCTATCGGAAGTGTAGTGTGGCGCCGAGTCGCGGTTGACTATGATCATCACTACAGGAAGACTACGTACCAGTTAACCTCTCTGGAAGGGAACAGTACACTGTGTTTGGAGGAAAGAGTTCAGAGTCTCTACTGTCTCATGAAGGTGTACCACAAGGAGCTGTTCTTCCACCTCTTCTATTCTCCTTTTTTCGGCATGACCTGCCATCTTCCACAGAAAACACTTTTGTGAAGTATGCGGATGACCTCACTGTATGTATGCCTATATCTTCCTCTTTACATCCCATAGAAATGAATGAGTTTTTGTCTCGTATTGATTGTTGGTCTGTTGGTAATGGTCTCATACTTAATCCGTCTTAATGTCAGGCTGTTAACTTTAGCATGAGACATGAACGGAATATAAACACTATTTTGAGATCCCATAGTGCTTGTACCATCGGAGACTCTTTGATAAACTCAGTGTCGAAGGTCAATTATCTTGGTGTCACCTTTTCCTCTGATCTGTCTTGGTCTTCCCACGTTTTATCGTTATCGAAGAAGGTTTTCCGTCTGACCTACTACATAAAGAGATTGTATGCTCTTGGAATTACTCGTCATTTACTCTTACAATTTGTCAATTCTTGCATACTACCTATTATTCTTTACTGTTCTCCATTATTCTTTCCCGGGCTTTTGAGAAAAAACTTTGCTGTATTGCGAAGAGTGCTGAAGGCAGTTAGCAAGGTGTGTGGTGAATCTTTCGAGGTCATAGTTAATATGGTTGTGGATAGACATTTAAAATCATGCAAACTCCTGGCAGGCGTCATTTTATCAGATACTACCCATCCCCTTCACTCTTATCTTTCTCCTTGTATATCTTCTGGTAGAACGAGACGTAATTACATTAAAATCCATGCACGCAAGGAAAAGTATAAAAGTTCTATAATACCTTACCTAGCAAATATACTCTGTGACGAACAGGTTGTTAGAATTAACCTAGTCAATAACTTACATTCTTAACATGTCTTTAATTTTAAAAAGTTTGTACAGTTTTTTTGGTTTTTTTTATTTTATTTTTTTTAAAACCTTTTTTATTTCTTTTTGTATTTGCTACTGCCTTTTTGTTCGTTGTTCAGTAAGTAACTTGTTGAAATACCCTGTGCTGAGAATTCTATATTGTACCAAAAAGATAATATTGAATAAAGCCATTAATAATAATAATAATAATATCCCCCGTAAGCCAAATATCAGTAAGCAATTGATGGCTGTAGTCGAGATGCATTTGTTGGCGATCTCGTGGTATTGAAAGAATACCGAGATCGTGCCAGGCTACAAGTGTGATTACTGAGCGTAACCGAATTCGTGCAAGGTCACAATCAACGGAAGAATGAGTGTTTTGGTACAGTTCAACAAACAAATACAGTAAAACAATCCCTGACACAATTGGTTATAATAATAATTGTTTCCAATACATCAATCGCGTTCTCTTGATAAAAGTAGGTCACTACAGGAGCCCCTCGCTAGAAAGGGTTTACATTTTCGGTAAGTGGTGGTTTCATTCGCGGGACTGATCAGCAGACGTGCGATTGTAGGACGAAAGGGTTGGCGAACAGGAAGCGATTGTTGATCCTCGAGTTGCCACCTAAGATCTTTTAGGTAGAACGGTACCAAGAGAAACGTGCTGATCTGTTGCTCGAGTTAGCGTACCACACCAGATTGGTTTGTATCCAGGATCTGTGGATTGCGTTCGTAGGGGTGTGGGCCAGGAAACACTGCAGACGTAAGAAGGAACCACGTTGAGCCAAGGAACCAGGAGCGACCACAACAACCAAGTGCGAGACCAACATATATGCCAGACAGGTTCGAAACCAGAATATCGACTAAGTGCGTTGACAAGAGCGTGGTTGATCAAACCAGCGTTCGCCAAAATGGATTGAAGTCAACGGTACCAAGCGGGCGATGGTCGGAGGCGTGGGTTCGGGATACAAAACAAATCAAAGAAAAAGAGAAAAAGTGTGGCATGCATGTAGTTTAAGAACAGTCCCAAACCGTATTCATTGTTGATTGTGCGGTTAGTCACGAAAACGTATAGGTAGGCGTGCTCGGCGACCGGAACATGATACGATAGTCTTTTTCGTACTTCGTGAGCCTGCAATCTCATCCGAAGTCAAGGGCGGCGTGGTCTGCTGATCTGGATGTGAGACTGAAGTCTCGTGCGTCATTGGTGCAGATGACACGTGCTGTTGACCGGGACGTGAGAATGAGGTCTCTGATGTATCTAGCGTGGGAACTGAAGTAGATGTAAGGATCCTGCTAGTAGGTTTGATGGGTCTAGCATTGCGTCTCGAGTTATCGGGTAAAGCACTGTCATCGACGTGTGCTGGTTTGAGACGATCAATGCTGACGATCTCGACACGGCCATGTCGATCAGCCTTGAAAGTCTTTTCGTGACTAGAAATCACGTGAAAAGGTCCTTCGTAAGGCTGTTGCAGAGGTTTGCGTACCGAATCTACCCGTATGAAAACATTTGAACAGGTAGATAACTCTCGACGGAGAGCGACTTGTCGATGTTGTATTCGAGTTGACACCGGAGACAGTGTTCGCATAAATTGAGACAGTCGATGGACGTAGCCTGACTCACCGAAATCGTTACTGCTCCGTGGTGTGAAAAATTCCCCAGGCAGACGCAATGTCGTGCCGTAAACAAGTTCAGCGGCGGAACATCGAATATCTGCCTTTAAACTCGTTCTGATGCCTAAGAGGATGAGCGGCAAGGTTTTGTAACAATTGCTGTTTTCTTGTGCTCGAAAAGCACTTTTAAGTTGGCGATGAAACCGTTCAACTAAACCATTTGATGCTGTGTGGTAGGTGGTAGTGCGTATGCGTCTGTACCAAGCAGCCGGGTCGGTGAGGAGAATAATGCGGACTCGAATTGTTGTCCTCAGTCGGTCGTGACAGTCGAAGGACAACCGCAGAGCGCTATCCAACTGTTTCTGCCGTAATAGACGTGATGGGAATAGCTTCGGGCCAACTCGTAAAACGATCGATGCACGTGAGTACGTGATCATATCCGTGCGATGGTGGCGATGGTCCCACAATGTCTATATGAACGTAATCAGGCGTACCGAACGTGCCAATGGGGGCAGCTACGTGCCTATGTAGTTTTGATCGTTGACGTTGTAAGTATTGCTTTACCCACATACGGACATCTTTATTCATGGACGGCCAGACGTATCGTGCAGCGATGAGGCGTAATGTAGCTGCGATACCTGGATGAAACAGTCCATACAGGGCATCAAAGACGAGACGACGGTAGGCAGAGGGTACGATGGGTCGGGGAAGACCGGTAGAAGTGTCACGTAGGATAGTACCTGAGGTAGTAGCTAGGGGTACTTCTTGGCACTGAAGGGATGTAGTTTTTGGTGCTTCTGTACGGAAGGGATCGTCTGCTTGAGCGGCAGCCATAGCAGGAAGATCGAGCACCGGTGAAGTAGCTGCATTCACTTGAATACGTGACAGAGCATCGGCAACATAGTTCAACTTGCCT